GTCATACGGCGCAGCATGTGCCGGTCTTAACTTAGCAGCCATGATTTTCTTAATTTTAGTTAATCCTACCTCAGTAGAGCTTGATATCACATCAAAAATGAGCTCCCACCACAGCAATTTTGAAATTCTCATTTATAAGCCCACCTCAGCATTGATGTTTTATCAAAGTTAAAGATCAGGCTCACATTAAATATTTTGTAAGCAAAGTAAGCAAGCAAATGCTGGTATTATTTTGACATCTAAAACATTCAATGAAAAGTTATTTGCATATCAACCGCAGAGCATTGCATATGAAAAACTTGCTTTAAACATTTCTTCCGGTTATTTTATAGCTTCTATTCACATCGATTTCCTTTCCATTGAAATTATAATCTGGGTGATTTTGCAGTAAAATGTAGGCTTAATAGGCCCTATATCACAAGAACACTACAATTTAACATGAGCATACTCAATCATAATATAGTGTTTAGGTCAAGGAAAAGGTTTAATATCTCTCCCATACTTTTTGAAAAAAGAAAAAGATGACCCAATTGTTTTGTTTTTATTCAGGTCAATTCATTATGCTGTTACTTCAGTGTGATATCTAGGAGTTATTGTCTTGGGTCGCTTATGGATTACTGTACTTAAGTCTATTGTTTTGCTCAACATGTTTACAGTGGGGAGCCTGTGGAACAAACTTTTTCTCTGGGTGCACTTTCCAATAAGATATGCCACTTGTGTACAGTACACCAAAATTGTTATATCTGCCAACGTTATCATAGTAAATAGTAGTGCTATTTCAAGGACTAAGTAGGATTGCAATGCTGAAAAAAACATAAATATTCTTTAAAATATAATAATAATTTTGAATTTGGTGGCAGAAAAATCAATGCAGATAGGGACAAGGAGGTACATTTTAACTTGGCTTTATATCCAAAGATGGTTTAATACGAAAATCAACGTTGGAATATTATTTTTGTCTTGCCACCTACAAATAGCCAAAAAAGATAGTCAGGTGTTGTATGTTGATGTTCATGTAAAATATTCATATTTTGATTTTAATTGATCAATAATTTTTGTGTATTAATTTTTAACATGTTTCATAATTTTATTATTCCACCATCAAATTTCATATTTCCTATAAAATTTAACTTATTATTTTCAGTAGTAAGAATTATATAGTATTGAATAGAATAGATTTTAAGAGATTATATAATCAATATAGTACTTAGAACATCCTCTTTATAGTTCCCTCATTATAGCATGTTTGTGAAACATAAGCAAAGTGGGACAATGTCGCTTTAGTTGTTAGATGATTTTCATTGTTATTGTCAATGAATATCACAAGCATATCTGATTAAATTTTTTTTAGGCAGTGGCTATTATTACACCATTCTTAAACCGGTTTAATTATGATTGGATGTTATTCTCATAATCCATACAAACATCCATTCAGAATTCATCATTATCATCTTCCAGTATTATGCATAACAATAGAGTATACTCACACAATGTTAAATGGTAGGCCTATGCATCACTGCTCTCAGATATGTTAACGTTTTTCTCTCACATTTCGATGCGAGTTTGCTTCAGAAAAATATCATAGGAGTGATGTTTTGCCCTACCTGACGTGTTATTGTACCGAATACTCAGTACATCCCCAAATACTTGTGAAAAAAATTGATTGCAAAGGTAGGGCAAAACATCGCTCCTATGATTTTCCTCTCCCTTTTTTTAAAATCAATGGCTTTATCGCTTAGAAATTAAGACTGGTGTAACAATAGCCATGATTATATCCTTAAAAGTCTTTACCATATTGGGGGCTGGGGTAGTCAGGTCCTCCATCTGACCATCAATCAATCATTCATGCAATCAATTGACATTGGTGTTTTAGTATTATTGCTGTTATCACTAGGTGTGTTTGCTTAAAGTGACAAATCATTTTGTTATATCTATACTGTATATACATATATACCTTTTTATTTTGGCCAATTTGCATTTTTTGAACTGTATTGTGCTATTTTCTTTAAACATTCAGAATTTAATATTATTACTGTAAATGTAAAAACCACCACTGTTGATGTTGCGCAAGTTTTCTTCAATTTATCAATATAATTCCAAGCAAAAATCAGATGAAATTATTTGAAAATTATTGTCATTGTTTTTATAATTATGTTTTGTTTTATTCCATGTAACATAAAGTACAAATATAATAATTACTGTAAAGTAGCACCATTTTTAGAAACGTTTCATGCCATGTGATTTCATGTTACTGACTAATATGGATCCAACTTGTATTTCCATCATTTTTAGAGTAACGTGTAACATTTTTTTCTTGTTTTTCCCTCAATAGGTTATTAGTGCAATTAGAGGAAACAGAGAAATCATTTGAAAGGTTTTGGGAAGGTCATAAGATCAAGTTGATGCAATGTGTTGACTACAGAAGGTTTGAACATGATTTTAAACAGGTAAGAAATATGGGTCTGCAACCAATTTCAAACCACTCGGGGTCTCCATCTTTAGGTTTGATAATTAGAACCTTATAGCTCGCTTTGTATTTCGCTTGTGCCCTTTTACAAGGCAAACAAGTCATTTTAGCTACTGTTGGCTTCACCCTGCAGTACAGTGGGTTGGTTCGAACAATAATATCCTCATTACTACTACTACTACTACTACTGTGGAGGGAAAAAAATGTATAATGTGTCTTGCAAGCGACTTGCACATCAAGGGTTTTTGCCAACCTAATGACGGATAATCACTGTAGGCGTCGGCCGACACGTTTCTATGGTGAACACCGGTCCATGCATGCGCAACAGATAATTTTTAATGACGATCGGCTCAGACTGCCACTGAGCAGAAGGCGTCACACCGTCTAGCGCTAACAGGGAGCAGAGTTCGTGAGTGCCGAGCTTTGAATTCAGCCATAATCGTTGCACCACGGAGCGTTAGTAATTGATATATAAGGGTAACATACCATTGTTATTATTTTCAGAGTCTAATACAATATCAAAGTTATTACACTAGTCATAAATCAGTTTTCAATATCGAATAAAGTACAGTACAATAATCCCCATTCTATTTCCAGGTAAAATTAGTGCTTGATAATTACCTGTACAACATAAACAAAGATAATGACCTTGGTGATTCTGTGGCTTCAGTTGAAAGTTTATCCAAAGCACACAGTGAATTTGAGGAAAAAACACTTGTAAGTTATTTTTTGAGACCGGAACTTATTTACAAATAGAAATAGTTCCAATTCATTTTCTGTTTTTAAAGATATGAAAAATAGAGTACCATATATACTAGCGTATTGGACAATTTTGTATGTCGGGCATATAAGATGACCCCCTCCACCAAGCTAGTTCAGTGTGAGTGCGTGATGAGATGTCACCAATTGTATTCTACCTCTGGAAAAAGAAAATTAACATGTTATCTACATTGGGACTTGGTATTTTGCATTCAAAGTTGTCTGGTTTGCTACTGAGAATTAATCATGTAAGCACAACAGAACGCTGTTTGTGCATTTGTTGTTCTAAACAACTCGATTAATATCCTAAGTAATTGTTTGCCATGATGTAATAATCGACCCAAATAATCATAACAAATTCTACAAAACATATCAAAACTGAAAAACATTAAAAGTTGGAGCAACAAAAGACAAAAGGTCTTGAGTTCCAATATGGTTTAAATACTTTATTCTCAAAAGGTTTATTATAACATCTGACTTCAATGCCAACTTGTTTTGTGAACTTAACTATGATATATTTTTATTTTATTTATTTTTTGACTTAAACTTTAAACACAATGCTATATTGATTAAATATTGAAATTCACATACAAATGCTAAACATATTTAATTAAGATATCTCATTCCTAACAGCCTGCGTTTGAGAATGCGGAGAAGCTTCGCAGCTACGGAATAGAATTGATTAGCCAGGAGAACTATGCGGGTGATTGTATCCGTCCGAAATGTGAAGAGATTTCAGATTTGATTGAAGACATTGAGAGGAAAACATTAACAAGAACAATAGTTTTAAGTAAATCATTGGAATTACATCAAAGGATACAAAAGGTAATAATAGATGCATGTGAACCTTAAGCCCTATTTAGACTACCAAATATTATTTGTAAAAAAGAATGCTATGGTCATAGTGACATCACATCATGACAATATATTAGGCACATCATGACTATATATGGGCAAAAGGAAATTTGATCTTCCTTGCAGCTTAAAGCTTTATTTACTCTACACACTATGTGACAATTATCTTTGATTTGCCCATATTTGGTTGATATTACATCTAAACTTATCACCATTTTAATTTTTGATAACTTAGAATAATTTTGGCATATACAGTACCCTAAAAACACAATACAGAAAAGTATTTAAATACTATATACCATAGACAGAAGCCTGGGAGTTAACAAATCTCCAATATTAAATAATGAAAAGATAAATAATTGTTGTGGAATGATATCAACATGAAGCTACTACAAGGACCTCTTTATTGAGGCTAGAATTATAGTCACGGACCACACCCATACGCAATTCAGCACAATGATGCTGCGAGTTACAGGTTATTCTCCTACCTTTACCTTTAACATATAATATATGAAATATAAATTATCTTTATCTAAATACAGTAAATATGTCAAGATAGTACAGTTAACTATGCATATGTTATTTTTTCTTTCTAAAGTTTTCAATTAGAGATTATTAGAGATCTATTTTAAAACTTACTCTCTTATTTTCATTCTCTGAGTTAGCTGTGCTGTTATACAGTAGCTCTCGCAAAAGAAACTCTAATGAATAAATAAAATACAGAAATTGTATTATTATTAATAGGCGATTTCATAATTTATATTCAAATATTTCTTCATCCTAGGCCCAGGTTTGGTGCTCCAAAGGAATGGAAGTACTGGCTTCTCAGGATATAGACCCAAGCCAGTCCAAAGAAAATGTAGACAAGGGCCTCAAGGAAATTGATACCTTCCTAGCCAATTGTAAAGATCTCAAATTAAGTAATCCTAAAGAATTCCACACAATGTTCTCTGATATACTCAACTCAGAGCTGTCGGTGAGTTTACTAATTATACTAATTGTAATTATATTATAATTATTATAATTCTTTACATATCAACCTATTTGCAAAGGTTCAAATTTTATGTGTGTTAAGGGTTTTGTTGTTTCTTTTTTCTACATAAGTTTCTCCTAGTGCTACCAAAGGGATTGATTTTGATTTATTATTTTATGAAATGGAGATGCCTTTGTTTCATCTATTTTAAAAATCTCTCACTAAAATATCTTAAGAAATGTAAATGACATCATTACTATTTATTTATTATTAGCCATAATTGTATAAACATAGACAATGTCATGATCAGCATCATCATCATCATCATCATATCATCATTGTCATCATCATCATCATCATCATCACCATTACCATAGCCATTGTCATCATCATTATCATCCTCATCATCAACGTCATCATCACCAATATAATTTTATTAACATTTGCGATATTATCTTTAAATGCGATCTTTATCACTATTCATAATTTCCTGTCACTTTTTTCATCCTCATATAAGCTACTCTTTAAAATTTGACAATTAGAATGCATGTTTGTTTAACTGGTTACAACCAGTATTATCAATCACTTAGCAAAGCACTTTCTTCTGATTCACTCCTTATTTTTCCATGTGTCCAAATCCACATAAAGAAATGCAATCCCATTGCAAAATACCCAACAATGTTGTAATTCCAACATAATAATCTGTTCCTTTAGGATTGCTATATTATTACAGGATGCCCTACAAATCTTGGCTCATCCATAAGGAATAAAGTATTATTACTTTTTTTTTATTCAGAGTGTTGACTTTCAGTTGGCTCAACCTAAACCAAGGCCTTTATAACTAATCTATTACGTAGTCTATGCTTGTAATAACATGAGTCATTATGTTTAACTTGTACATCATACCTCACCACGCCTACTACCAAGTTAATGAAACCATAGGCTGTAGTGCTATAATATCAGATGCAAATCCATTCATTTAAAAACTGATGATGGACACAAAATATTATAAGGCAGTTTTAGTACTGAAAGGATAAATCCGAATAAGAAATTAAAATGATAAGCTGTTAAAATTGCAATACATATTGTACTTTCTTGCAAAATTGCAATTGTACTCACTAATATGATGATATTAACTTATTTAATTATTAACCTAAAAGCAGTAAATATAAAATGAAAACATATCGCTATGTCATCGTAGTATTTGTAGGCCTACAACACTGTGTACATGTAAATATATTGGGAATATACAAAATTATATTCCAGTAGTTGCTTTGCATAATGCCAATTAACCGGTATAATATAACAGAGTGAGTGTACGGCTTGCCTTTCAATCCCACATTGCAGGGTTCAAATCATATGAGAAACATCAGGATCTATTCTCACTAATACAAATAAGACCCTTTTCACACTAACACTATTTTGCAAAATAGTGACAAAAACTAGTAAAAAATTGTAACCAGGTTTGTTTCGATTGAAAGAGTTCATGTAAAACATTTCTGAGATATCAAAGTTGACTTCTGAAAAATCTTGACTAGATGTCAAAAATTGTTTATTCTGCATGTGTGTACAGTATACCTATGGCAATATGCCCAAGGCAATTTTCATGGACTTCCACCATAAGCACAGGTGATGGAGAAAATTTGTCTAGTTTGGCCTACTGCAGTCATTGCATGCAAAACAAGCATTACTGAATAATTTCCACAATTATTCAAATTTGATATCCTTCAAACATTTTCCATTGGAGTATAATTGCATGTGTGAGTGAAACGAACAACTTGTTAACATGTTGTTTACAAGTTAGTATTTTGCCTATGTGTGAATTGGGTATCATTAAGCCTAAAAACATGCTACAATGTAACATTTTTACATAATGAATAAATGAATGAATGTCATTGATAACTGTCATATGTAGTGGGAATCCTTTGTGTTCATGTGATCTGGTCACATGATCATATGGGCCTCCCACTCCCATTGTCAATTGCATGCTATTAGTCACTGGATTCTAATCGCTTCTTTTTTTCCCACTCTACATCCTCTTATCCCCATTCCCACTGTCATTTCCTCCACCCCCACCCGTTTCTTAGAGTAAGAAGTCACACCGAGAACATGCAGAGGTTTGTTGACATTTCATACTGCACATAGAAAAATTATTATTTTCTTTTTATGTTTTTGTTATTTCTACATTTTTATACTGCAATAAATGCCAAAGGTGCTTGGTGCCTGCTTTGTTCAGTTTTTGCATGTTGAAGGCAAATCACTATGAAAAGAAATTTATAATGAACACAATAAGAAGCATTTATATTGTAACGTGATTGGAGCAGAAAAAATTCTAGAAACTCAATTATATTTACTTATTTGAAAGATCATTTGCAGAAATACCCATGAAGTTATAGCTTAAAATAATAAATAAAAAAAAAAACCTCCATTGCTACCCAATAAAATTTGCCAACAATTATTGAAAAAACTGAACAGCGCCCCCAGTTATTTAATTAGTTTGTGAATACCTAGTTCCTGCACAGATAATGTTTGCACTGCACGTTCAAATGCAAATTGCTTTGTTTGCTTTGATTATATATCTTCCACATGCAAATTATTTTTAATCTAGCCTGAGAAACCATTAATATTAATGAATACAATTTGCATAATTTATATTGCATTATTTGGCTTGACTATAGAATGCAACATGCTATTTTTAAATCACCGTATCATTCTCTGTTTAAAATTAACTACTGCCTATGTATGTCTATTGAATATTTTGTTATCATATTCAATATTACTAAAAATTAAATTTGAAAAAAAAATATATCACTTTTATAACAGTCCAAAACTACATTGATAATTTTGGTGACATGTTATTTTTTTACGGTAACAGTTTTAAATCAGGTTTATAACTGATATTGATGTTTTAATTTCAAGTTCTAAATGTTACATATGTCAATGCGGGATGTTTTTATAGATAACTATTAATAGCAATAAAATATCAAGCTATGGGATATCAAGATTTTTAGCAACATATGGTTTTGAATTCTTGTTGTTAGTACTATCTTTATTAACCTGCAAATGGCCATATAGTTTTTTTCCCTCCTTTGTATGTGAAAATATATTGTACAATTACAAAATAGCAAATGAGATTCTAGTTAATAGATACTTACTTTACATTTGTGCTACAATTTTCAATCGAATTTCATTATAATGTATGGAACGCCAAAAGGACAAAATACAAGTGGCAGCAGTGTAAAACTGAGAGTCAGCAGTACAAATCTGAGAGTCAGCAGTGCAAAACTGAGAGTCAGCAGTGCAAAACTGAGAGTCAGCAGTGCAAAACTGAGAGTCAGCAGTGCAAAACTGAGAGTCAGCAGTGTAAAACTGAGAGTCAGCAGTGCAAAACTGAGAGTCAGCAGTGCAAAACTGAGCAGTTCAAAACACAGAGCAAAACTGAGTAGTGCAAAACACAGAGTCAGCAGTGCAAAACTGCTGCCGCTTGTATTTTGTCCTTTTGGCATTCCATAATAAGGTTATAAATTCTAACCAGTGTTTTCTAGTTTAGAATGCAGGGCTTTTGCATATCAAAATATTTACATTGTTGCAGTATACTGTATTACCATTTCACATATAAACACAATTCTACACTCAAAGCTTTGTAGTATAGCATACATTAAAACAAACATTAAATTTCCAGTAGAATGCAGACAATGCTTTATACACAAAACAAGAAGAACTAAGCAATATTGTTACATAAACAATGATTAAATACAAGTTATCATCAAACACAAAAATATTACCATAGTGAATAATAACCTCCGTATTATTTAAAGATAAATTGCGACGTAAATGTAATATGAACTTGAAAATTATAAAAATATGATTTAGTTACATTATTTTTATTCACTTTCAACTGAAAATTAGAATGAGGAGAAAATGTTCTTACAGATTAAAAAACAGTTAATAATACATTTCCTATGTGTGTATTATACCCTTGAATTTCTACTAGCAAATCCATTATGAATTTCATTAAATCTTGCCTTCTTTTTTCAATCTTATACTGAAACTTGATAGCTTATATGGTTCTTTTGAACAAGGAGTTTTAAAATTTATTTAATTTTTTGAGGGTATTTTCTTCTTTTTTTGGTTGTTAAAATTACTGAGAAACTTGCAACCATTAAATTTTTGTTACCTTGCTTGTTTTATACCTTAGAACTTTTTGCATGGGCTTTGTTGAATAAGTTTTCTTCCTTTTTTTTTAGAGCATTTATCTTTGTAACTTTTAACTTGTGTTTTGATAAAATTTTGCTTGATTTTTGTCTTTGTGGTTTGAAAAATATTTTGCATCTTGCTAAATTTGCTGTTGCGACAACCCTACCGTTATTTTATATGTTTGCACACTTGCCCTTGCATTATGGAATTAGTGGTCGGATTGATTCTGATGGAGAGTTGCTTACATTGTGCTCAACTTTCAAGATTCAAGATTCAAAATAACTTTATTGCAAAAATAATAATAATAACAACAATTTAAATTGATAGTATTAAGAAATGTTTAAAAAACTCCTATAAACACACAACAACATTAAAATACAATAAAGAGAGAACAATACAATGGCATAATAAAGGAGACAAACAAATAAATGATTATGCTGAGTAACTTTGTTGGTTCAATCTCGATCTGAGCATGCCCGACCTAAAAATGAGTTCTATCTCATGAAATTAAATATTATCTAAACTATTATTAGTTGGTAAATGCAAAATTACTTTGTACCTTTATAGTTATTATATTGTATCTTTTTAGTTTGTAGAGTGTTACATTATAAAGTTTGAATACAAGCTGCATGTATTTTACTTATTATAACTTTAGATTAAAATTAGAAAAGTATAGATTCTATTGTATGAAATGCTGGTGTATTTAGTTGAAATCCCCAGATGATATCAGGAATATATATCTCCATTCCTTGACTGCCGACTTTGTAAACTTTTTAAAAATCGATTTATACAACACTGCCCTCTTTTGTTTCGGATCATCGACTGGCATCCCTGGGGAAGATATACCGTAATTTAGGCGTGAAAGGCACTTCTATTTTTCTGTCGTTTCCTCCTGCATTAAGTCTACAACAACTATAGAAACAAAACTTGTGACATTTTAATTTGTATTTTTTTTTTAAAGATATTCTATTATATTGTAATCTGTATTTCTATAAAAAATGATACAACTATCTTTATCCACTTGAGTGCAACTAATAATAAAAACTAAAAAAAAAGTTCCAGTAACAAAAAAAGAATTTATAATCTCAAATTAAAAAAACTAATCCAACTTCTTAAGTATCGTTGGCTATTGACTACAGGGAAGTCATCTGTTCTTGTGAGGTGCGTGGTAGGAAATATTTTATCGTGGTTTTGTAATGCGCGGTGGATTTTGCTGCCAGAATTTCTGCATGAAACTTTTCTTTTGTTTTTCTTCATAATTTCAACTGTTTTGTTTACTCAGTTTTATGTTTATAATTATTTATTATTATTATTTTAACAACATTCAGAGCTGCTGCTTTTGGGTAATGCAGAAACAGGTAAATGAATATCATTTCTGAATAGATTTCTATGTGAGAGGTATTTGTCATTGTGTATCACAAAATGTTAGTTTTTTTTTGTAATTTATAATGAAAAATCATAATTGATAGGAAATATATCTGCAAAAAAATAATCATTTCTACGTATGCAAGGTACTAGAAAATTATGTTGAATGAATGCATAATCAGGACGATTATAATTTTACAGAGTTTTTCATACAAAATAAATTGGGAAATAATATGTGAATGTATATATAAATATGATTTAGTAAACATTAGTGGGCCACCACATTGAGGGCCAAATAGTGGTGAAGGGAAGGATCTCATTTACCTCAAAGATAATTTAGCGTTTACTCTGGTAAATAAGCCTTTAGCAGATTAATGTTTTTAGGCCAGTGACGATGTAAGTACCATCCGATGACAGGAGTCCCTCCTTGTCCAACCACCTTAAAAGAGATGTCCCGTCAGTCTTGAGTACCTAGTAATCACATTTGACTGGTGCCTCCTTGAAAACACTAATCGTCAGTTGAACACTTTTATTAATGTTTGAATATTAATTTATTTTCTTCATTAATATTCTGGGTCATTTATAAGGTTAACCCCAAGGAGAGTTAAATGTAAGGCAAGTTTTTATGGAGGATTAAATTAAGGAAATGGATGAAAGGTAGCAAATAACAAAAATCTTTTTTAAACCACAGTTTCATAAAGTAATTGCTTTATTACATGTGATTTAATCAGTTTATTGTAGAGTTAGTCAGAGAAACCACGAAACGATGTCGTGGGAAGTCGGAAATGAGATTCTTATAGAGAAGGAGACTGGTTTACTTTTTTCTTTCATTCTGTTGCCAATTTAATAGTTTTTTGAGTAATACAATTCTTTGTTCAGTCATTTCCAATTGTTAGTTATTAGTGGCAGATGAAATTTGAGTTATTTGAGGACGTTGAAATAATACATTTAATATGTAAAATCCACACGACATGCTTATTAACATAATTTCTACAACTAAGATTTCTAAATAAATTTAGTAAGTCTGCTTGGTGTGTTTCCTAGACAATTTATATGGACCTTAATTGTTCAAAATATTTCCAAAATTTCAGTGAATTTAGTTCATCATTGTTTTCATCAATTATGATATATTACCTGTATCAGTATTATTAAAATAATAATAATTATTATTATTATCATTATTATTACTGTATCTAGCAAGTTAACCAAGAACCACAAAGAAATTGACTTGTTAGTTTTTCTGTTCTGTCATTTTGTCCTCTAATCTAGCTATAGTTTTGTTGAGTCTCTAAATCCATAGTTATAAAATTTGATTAACCAACTATTATTTAATTATTTATAATATGATTATATCAATATGAAGTGATAATGATAATTATCATTAATATTACCATACATATGAAACTCATGTACTGTATAGAATTTTGAAAAATGACTATCTCCATTTATCTTCACCTTAATCTTTTGCTCAGAGCTAAAACTATTTACATTTATGTTGATTGAATCACAGACAGACTGTAAATGCAGCAACTATTCATACTCCAGTGTTCTTGTAACCATAGTGATAATAATCCAATCCAATTCACTATTAATACTATCACCTGTTGTGATGAAAAAAATCTATGACTCAGCTCTGGATCTAGGGTAGTTAATATCTTTAAACACACCTATTGACAAAAATGGTACAGTCCAAAATAGGAGCTTTCAGTATTAAACTTAAGTTAGCTTAAAGGGGAAGTGACTCAGTGAATATAAGGGTTTACTAGGCTGTAGAACGTCAGTAGAATTTCATTGAGTGATCATGAATGGTCGCAGGGCCCCTAGATCCACCTCTAGACGATGCTCGTCACGGCATTGTCAGGCGGCTATCTATCAGAAAACTGGCAATCAGGTAATCTAATTAGTCATTATGTGTGAAATACACACATTATATAATGCATGTATTTGTACATTTAAATAAACATTTATCAGGTTCTACTTATAATTTTAAAAAAAAGGTGTAATTATTTTTTTATTAAACATTTATAATTAATATTATTTACATAATCATATTTTTTTACGTAGGATTAATAACCATTCAGATGTGTGAATATTAATGTAAATAATATTATTTTATTGAAATAATATTACTGTTTTTATTATATAGTAATTATTATTAGTAGTAGTATTAATGTATTTTTAGTTATTTAAAGATGATAACACAATCTGATTTATTGATTTATATTATTATTGTTTCTTAATATTGTTTGTTATTACAGTAATTATTATTTTCATTATTATTATTATTATAAATGTTTTTTATACTTTTTTATCTCATTTGTTACATTTTTGCACAGAGTATTGTACCCTCCACTTTTGTCATTTTCCATGCTTGAATCTTCTTCGAACTTGGTAAAATAAAAAAAAAAAGAACTATTAATTTTGTAGATCCAAATTAACAACTTTTACACTAACTATATCAAGCACGGTAAAGTTACTTTAAATCTTTTCAATATTAATAAGTTTGTTGAATGATATTGCACATATATATTACTTAACAAAAAATTTAAGTATTATTTGATAACTAATTTTTGGTTCATTTTTCTTGTTATGTATTTATACAGTGTGATAGCTTACTATAACATGCCTATTTTATGATTAATGTTTACATAATAAAGTGATGATTACTAATTGTTTTATTACTATATTATTCTATTCTATTAATATTCAAATTTTGTTCCACCTATTTGTACAGTATACTCAAATTTGTACAGTTTTTATATATTTGTTTGGTTTTGCACTTTATTATTCATATGAATTAGGAGACATTAATATTTTCTAATAATAAATGTTTATATTACAACACCTCGCATATTCTTAATTTAAAAAAAATATACTGTTGAGTTTTGACTTCGGATTAGTAGTCCCAGTAGAATGGTTCTATTTCGGATCCTTTGTTCATATTGCCCTGATGAAAATAATTATTTACTACTTTCACTTTGATCAAGTGCGACTCTCACTATTTCTTCAGACTCTTTGTTCCTTTATTAAAGTTAATAAACACAAAAGGCAGAATCATTGGGTTTGTAGCGTTATATTAATGAACAATGATAATAATTCCAATGTTACTGTTAATAATAAAAATTTAATTATGATAAAATAAAAAAATAAAATATATATATTTATTTTAGAATTATATTATGGAAAAAGTATGCAAGCTTGGTTTCATGGTTCAGTTGGTAGAGAACCAGAACAGTATTTAGAAGGGTTTATTTAGAACAATGATAATAATTCAAGTGTTACTCTTAACAATGAACATTTAATTATGCATTAATATGATAATATAAATATATAAAAAAATATTCATTTATTTTAAAATTATATTTTATGGGAAAATCAAAAGAAGTATGCAAGCTAGGTTTCATGGTTCAGTTGGTAGTGAACCAGAACAGTATTTAGAAGGGTTTTATGTTCAAATCCTGATGGAACAATATATTTTCTCAAAAACATTTTTTATAATAATATTTGGACCCTGTGGGTGAACACATGGTTACCTACTGAACAGGTACTGTATAAAGAATAAAATGTATCTAAAAAATAACTAATATCTGTTATTCAACTTTGTATGCACAATCCCCCTTCCACCTCTACTGCCAAAAATAACTAGTTCAAATTTAAGTAGTTGCCAAGGTGATATATTTAAGCACTTGTACCTATCAGTATTTTTCATTTAGTGCTTTGGAAATTCAATTATATATCGTTTTGATGCTTGTATCAGTAAAGTTTAATGTTTTCTGAGAACCCTTCGCATTAACTGCTTTCTTCTTGGGTCTGTAATTCCTCCATCCTAGGCACTCGTGACTGAAGTTGTCACGAAAATGGAAGATGTAAAGAATATGTTTGAGAAACGCCGCGAAAGCCTGAAGAAAATGAAACTTGAGCGGCAACAGCCAGTCGTGATGGTTGCTCCACAAGCCGCACAAATCAAACTGCCAACTGTGAACAAACTATCACCTTCGATGCATCGTCGCTCGGATTCACCAACAAATCTGCCAGTCTCGCCGTCAAAGGAAAAGAAGAAGGTATTACCTCGTACTCCAAGAGCAGCGAGAAAGGTAAGCCAAACTGAATTGTACTATGACCTGTGTTCTTTCAGCACAACTGAAATAACTTGCCAAGTGATAATACTATAGATTTATTTTATGACGCAGATTTCAAACTAATAAATATCAAAGATGTTAAAGCATTATTACCATTTGTCAATGGATAACATCGGAAGATCCACAAAAACTGCAATCGTCTCTGCTTCCTGTGGAATACACCTAATCTTCGCATGTTCAGCCTATTCAGCCCGCAAAATTAGTACATTCAATGTCACAATATTCTACAGTACCAGGTACCTAATTATACTCCTGAGAAACAAATTTCGATAAAATGTCTGACCCAAAGACACAAGTGCTTGCAAAGCAAAGGGTTTTAACCCCCCCAACTCATGATTGTGTCACAACCGTTGCACAAACCGCATCCACATTAAAAACAATCAAAATGCAAATACCTTTTACATTATACATTATAGTATGTTCGATAATTTTGTTGTTACCTTTCTTATAAGATTTGTGTTTTTAGGCTGATTTTTTTATAGTATTCTATTAGTTTATACTGTCGTTTGCACATCAGATGTGGGTCATAGTTTTACTCATAGTGGGTCGTAAGACACTTTTCTGAAGACTTCTGTTTGTAATGTTTTTGTTGATCATATCTACATGCTTTAAGTTTTGAGTTAACTGGTCTTGCACTTTAAATTGCTCACAATTGAACAGTCATGGTGTTAGTTCTCTGATCCTGCAGTGAATGCAGATGTTGCAATTCATCCGCAAATGGCAGGAATCTCACGGAAGCAAGCACAGTCTCTTGTACTCTTGGAAGCAAGTGAAAATTCCCTGGAATTAAGACATCTTCTGCAAGTTCAAAATGTTTGCTTCAAATGCTGGCCGTAGGTATTGTCAAAGAGTATAAATAGAACAGGAGATTCAACTGTGCGCTGTAAAAACGTCACTCCCCTAGTTACGATTGAAGTCGCCATTGTCGCTATATAGTGCGCCCACTTTTTGTGAGTGCACACAAAGTGCACCCGCTTTGATGGTATGAAGATTAAGAAACATAAGGAAATATATATAGAATAATAATATAATAAATGACAGTGAGAGGTCGCAGGTTCGAGTTCTGCCTGAGCCATTTTTTTACACAATTTTTTTATTCATTTATTTACAGGACTACATTCGTTGAGAGCTATGCTACACGATGTATTATTATGTCCTTTATTTGAACACTGCATTTATCTTTCTTTGATGATTTATATATAATTTAACAGTGTTAACGGCTATCTTGATTTATATTACAGCA